CACATAAGCAAAAAGAAAAAAGCCGGAAGTGGCACTGTGGCTCAAGTGGTAGAGTGCTAGCCTTGAGCTGAAGAGCTGAGGGACAGCGTCCAGGCCCAGAGTTCAGGCCTCACGACTGGACCCAAAAAAAAAAAAGACATTGATTAAAGATGTTTATGACAGAGAAACAGATTAATTAGTTCACAGGGGATTGATAGTTTAAATTTTGACTAATTTCAAGATTCTGAAGTATATGTATTTAAATACAGTATATTAATTTAGGCAATCATATTGAAAATTCCTGTTACCTTTTATTTTTTCCTTTTCCTTTCCTTCTTTTCTTTTTTTTTTGGGTCCGGTCGTGGGCCCCGAACTCTGGGCCTGGGTGCTGTCCCTCAGCTCAAGGCTAGCGCTCTACCACTTGAGCCATAGCGCCACTTCCAGCTTTTTTCTTTTTTGCTTATGTGGTGCTGAGGAATCGAACCCAGGGCCTCATGCATGCAAGGCAAGCGCTCTACCACTGAGCTACCTTCCTAGCCCTTATTTTTCTTTCTGGTAGCTGAATTTGAACTCAGGGCCGTCCTCATACTTGTTTTGCTTACTCTGTTGCTAGTTTGTACTACTTGAACATGCCTCCAGTCCCTAAATTGCTCTTTTTTTTTTTTTTTTGGGTGCATGAGTGACTCTGGGTTGTGGGAACAGTTCTTTTCCCCAATCCCTGTGATATTGACACCCAGGTGTTGTTTAAAATTGAGTGTCTTGAGAGGAAGGTCAGGTAGGAGGATAGTGGGCCAATTATGTTTTTCTAATCCTATAGTACCAGTAGCTGTTTCTTTTCAGTCCAGGTTCCTGTGAACCTAAGATTTAACTGAATTTCTAAAAATATTACTACTTTTCTGGAAATGGGAGCTTCTTTCTAATAAGTAAACCTATCGCCTTCAGACATTTGACTTTCAAAAGAGGGAACTGCCTAAAAGATAAGGGAGACATTAGTGTATTAGACTTGTGGATTGACATTAACTGAAAGCGTAACTAATGTGTTGATTTATCTGTTATTGAACACAAAATTCCCCTGTGCATCTTATTGTAATGAGAACTACACAGTAACTGTGGCAAGAAAAGTTATAAAAAGGGTATTCCCCTTTCCCCCAGCAAGGGAAAAAGGGATGACTTACTGAGGAACTTTCCAAGCAGCCACTCTTACGAATTTGAACAGACAAAAAAAGCTCAATAGTAATGTTTGAAAATGAAGTTAGCTGGGTGCCAGTGGCTCATGCCTGTAATCCTAAGCTACTCAGGAGGCTGAGACCTGAGGATCTTGGTTCAAAGCCAGCCCGGGCAGGAAACTCCATGAGACTCTTACCTCCAATAAACCACTCAGGAAACCGGAAGTGGTGCTGTGGCTCAAGTGGTAGATCCCTGGCCTTGAGCTGAAGAGCTGAGGGACAGTGTCCAGGCTCAGAGTTCAAGACCCATGACCAACAAAAAAAAAGAAAAATAAAGAAAAAAAGAAAGTAAAATTAATGTAAAATCTTCAGAAGTAGAATCCAAAGACAGAAAGATGTAAAAGTACCAAAGGTGTTATAAAGATCAGATGAAACAGAGGAGAGGAAAAAACTGTCAAATATTCCAAAACTGAAGTATATGAGTTTCCAAGAGTGAAACGGAACTTACATAGGCATAGTGAATGAAAATATATCTATATATATCAAAGCCTCTTCTAAGCTGGATGTTGATAGCTCACACCTGTAATCTGCTACCCAGAAGATCTGAGGATCATTACAGGGTAGCCTGGGCAGACAAATCAGAGAGACTCTTTATCTCCATTTAACAAGCAAAAATCCAAATATGGAGCTGTGGCTCAAGTGATAGAGTGCTAGCCTTATGTGAAAAAGCTCAGGGACAGCATCTAGGTCTTGAATTCAAACCCCAGAACCAGCATCAGAAACAAAACAAAAAACTACTCACCTTTTCTAGTAGAATTTCAGAAAATTGTGTGAAAAGATTCAGAAAGTTTTCAGAGATAATAACAGAAGATCATATACAACGTCTCTGGAATCAGAAAGACTACACTTTCCCATATTCTACTATAACCAAGAGGACCATAATACCTTCAACACTAAAATAATTATTACCAACCTAGAATTCTGTATTTGACCAAAGCAGAGTTAGGTATGAGGAGAGAATGCTGTATTTATCAGATATGAAGGGTCTCAAACATTATTTACCTCATCAGAAAGTTACTCGAGGATGTATGACATCAAAACAAAAGTGTAAATGAAGAAATAGGAATACTTATGAACTAGAAAATTGGGGATCCATTATAGGATATAGGTGAAAGGAATTCCTGGATTGACAGTTGAGTAGCTAGCTGTCTGAGAATCCTGTCCAGGGTGGAGCATGGGATATAGACATGAAATATCTCCAGGGAGGAGGCAAGTTTGTTGATATACTGTGAACATGTTAAGGGAGAGGGAGAGAGAGGGGAGGGAAAAGAGGGACCAGGGGAGGCAGAGAAAACTAGGGAGGGAGGGGAGAATGTGGTTTGAATTACCAAGAATGATAATGGACTCTTTTAAAAAAAATTTAAACTATAGTAAAACAAAGGTCTGAAAGAAAGAAATGTGAGAATGTTGGATAAATCTAGAATATGCGGTAAGGCTTTTTTTTTTTAAACTTAGTTAGGGCCTGCTTGCTATCCCTGAGCTTCTTTTGCTTCTTTTGTATTACCACTTGAGCCACATCTCCACTTCTGGCTTTTTTTTTTTTTTTTTTTTTCAAGGGGGGGGGTTTTTTTTTTGCACAATTGTTTTTTTTTTTTTTTTTTTTTTGAGGGGGGGGCTTTTTTTTTTTTTTTTTGGTCTGTCATGGGGGTTGAACTCTGGGCTTGGGCTCTGTCCCTGCGCTCTTTAACTCAAGGCTAGCACTCTACCACTTGAGCCACAACGCCAGTTTTTTAGTGGTTTATTGGAGATAAGAGTCTCATGGAATTTCCTGCCCAGGCTGGCTTTGAACCTCAATCCTCAGATCTCAGCCTCTTGAGTAGCTAGGATTACAGGTGTGAGCCACCACTGCCGGCTTAGGGGGGCATTTTTATTTGGACACAGAGTCTTACAAACTTTCCTACCCACGTTGGCCTTGAACCTTGATCCTTAGATCTCAGCCTCCCTTATAGCTAGGATTATAGGTATAAGCTACTGGTGCCTGTCTGAGACCCTATCTTAAAAAAATAAACAAGCAAGGCCTGGTGGTTCACGCCTGTTATCCTAGATACACAAGAGGCTGTGATCTGAGGATAGTAATGGGAAGCCAGCCTGGGCAAAAAAAAGTCTGTGAGACTCTTATTTCCAGTTAACCACCAGAAAACTTGAAGTGGAGCTGTGGCTCAAAGCACTAGCGAAAAAGTTTAGGGACAGTGCTCAGACCTGGAGTTCAAACTTCACAACTGACAAAAAGGGGAAAAAAAGAAAGAAAGAAAGAAAGAAAAACTGGATGCCAGTGGCTTATGTCTATAATCCTAGCTGCTTAGGAGGCTGAGATCTGAGGAGCATAGTTCAAAACCAGCCAGGGAAGAAACTATATGAAACTATCTCCAATTAACCAGCAAAAATCTGGAAGTAGTGCTATGGCTCAAGTAGTAGAGCTTCCAGCCTTGAGCAAGAGAGCTCAGAGAGAGCACCCAGGTCATATGAATTCAAGTCCTAATACTCATACCCCCACCCCTATTCTCCTCCCCCCAAAAAGGGAAACAAATGAAAATAAAACCTAAGAATGTGGGATCTCTTTAAACTTTTTCTTCTGTTTTCTTCATCTTTTTATTTTTAGCCATGTGTAATTTAGCAGTTGGACTGATTGTCAATCCGTATGACTATATCCAATCACTATAACTGTATTGGTTGTTAAAATATTAGGATATTTGGATAATTATACTGTTGTGAGTACTCTCTTTGTTGCCTCTGTTAGTTTCCATATGTATCACTTCCCACAATTACTTTATTTAAATTTTTTAAAATTGTAGGGTGTTGGGAATTGAATCCAGGACTTTGCATAGAGCTAGACAAGCACTCTACCACATCCCAGCCCTATATTTTACAGTAAAAATGTTAATAATTGACCTGGTAGAAGCCTTCTAGGACTTTACTCATTTCTTGGCCTCTACTCTCATTACGTGTCAGAATACCAATTAAATATTTAGAACATTGTCCTACTTGGTTATAAATACTGTTTGTATACTCATTGATTTAGTTAACAGTTATGATAAAATTACAGTTATGATAAAAATTCAGGGAGGAGATGTGTAGGAAAGGAGGGAGTTTTAGGGTTAAAGTCTCATTTTCCATGCTAGAGTATCTACAGGTAATATCTCGCTGAAAAACTTAGAGCTGTATAAGCAAGTGATTTAGAAATATGAACTCATAGGAGAGATAGCTAAAAGTCTTTCGACATTCTGTTTTTGTAAAGCTGCTGACTTATAAGATTCTAAATTCTCTTATATTGAGAAAAATAATGAAAACAGTATTATTTTAATAAACTCTAGTCTTCTAAACAGATTGGTTTCCTTTTCCTCCAGTGGCAATACGACCACCTCACAGCCACCTATCTTCTGCTTCTAGCCAAGAAGGCACGGGGAAAACCAGTTCGATTACAACTCCCTTCTTTTTCCTGTGACCCTGCCAGTACCACCCCAAAGGTAAGTACTATAATCTTTTTTTTTTTTGGATCCAGTTGTGGGCCTGAACTCTGGGACTGGGCACTGTCCCTCAGCTCTTCAGCTCAAGGTTAGCGCTCTACAACTTGAGCCACAGCACCACTTCCAGCTTTTTTTTTTTCCTGCTTATATGGTGCTGAGGAATCGAACCCAGGGCCTCATGCATGCAAGGCAAGCGCTCTACCACTGAGCCATCTTTCCAGCCCCAGTACTATAATCTTTTGTCTGATCACTTGCTAGTCTTACCATGAACCACTGTGTTCTTGAGGGAACACATCTGTCTTGAATGTCAAGGAGGCAAGGCATTTCATTTATTTATTTATTTATTTTAAAAAAGTTTTTATTGTGATTAAGTGGTTACATAATTTCCCTAATTTCACTGTATTGTGGGATAGTGATGCTTAGTTAAAGTCACAAACACATTCTGACTTTCCTGGAGCAAATTGTCTATCACAGTCTATAACATTTATGAGTTCTATGAGCTTTGCGATACAGTTATTTCTTCCACATTGGGTGGTATGTACATTTCTTTTGTTTTGCATAGCGTCAGCTGTTCCCTCTTTCCCACTCGTTCCCTCCCTCCAATGGCTGCCATTGAGTTGCTTAGTTCATTTTGGTCAATGACCAGTGCAGCTGATGGGTCCCGCTGTTGTATGTTTTTCCCTGATTCCCTCTGGTTCTGTGTCGTCTTCCTGATTCCCCTCCGGTGTACACATATATACCATACATGTGATCAGCAGCATGGGGTTATTTAGTAGTGATTCGACCAGATGAGTGGAAGTCCTTTGTTTCTTAAGTCCTGTTAATTTTATCATATCACCTAACATTTTGGATTTAACATCCACTTATCAGGGAGACCATGTACCTTTTGCCTCTTTGCTCTTGACTTGCCTTGCTCAACATGATTTCTTCTAGCTCCACCCATTTCCCTGCAAATGCCATTATTTTGTCATTTCTAATGGCTGCATAATATTCCATTGTGTATAGATACCACAATTTTTGGATCCATTCATCTGTGG